AAAGCAAGCCACCAGGTCTGGGACTCGAACTGTAGTTGGCCATGTGGGAGTTTAGTGCCCTTAACCATTGCACCACCTGCCAGCTCCCTCAGTAGAGTATTGCACTTTGAAGCTAGAAGCTACATGCCAGCTACAACCTGAGTCTCCAGCCCATTTGGCCTGAAATGCACTGACGCTTGTATGCCCAGAATCCTAGGGATGGCTAGAGAATAAGGGGTTCCCATCTTGACAGAAGTCTATGGAAGTTTCTTTTCTTCTTCTTTCTTTCTTTCTTTCTTTCTTTCTTTCTTTTTTTTTTTAAGAAGTTTTTGCTATAGAGCACATGTGCTCGCCAGACAGAGAGAGACAGAGAGACAGAAAGCGAGAAATCGCCCCCAGGAGGGATGGCCATGCCGCAATCCTTTCTCCTCCATTCTCCTCTCGGGATCTTGGGCACGCACGCACATGCGCCCGGCGTGAGTTTTAAGCAACCAGGTCCAGGACGTGAACCGCGGTCTACTATGTGGGAGTCCAGCGACATAGCCATTACACTAACTGCTGGTCCCCCCCTCCCCTTTTTTTTAGAGAGATTTTTGCTATAGGATACATGTGCTCACCAGAGAGACAGAAAGTGAGAAATCACCCTCTCTGTGGTCACTGGCACACGTGCACATACACCTGACGTGAATTTAAGGCACCAGGTCCAGGACTCAAACTGCTCTTGACTGTGGGAGTCCAGCAGCATAACCATTATGCCGTCTACTGGACCCTAACATTGCTTTTTACTTAAGTGCTATATCATGAATTTTAGGGGCCAGAAAGTGGCATGGTAGTTAGGGTGCTGGAATCCATTCCGCATAGTCTACCACAGTTTGAGTCCCAGACTGATGGCTTTCTCTCTCTCTCGCATGCATGTGCCCTATAGCAAATTGAAAATAAGAACAAGTAATTTTTTCAGTGTTTTTACAGATTGCAGAAAGTAATTTTCCTTTTGTATAAAGTCAAAAACCAGGCAAAGCTAAATACCTTATTTAGAGTGACATGATAAAACAGTAAGAGGAAAAGAGCTATTTAACAGATTAGGGTTTGAGCAAGAGGGTGCTTAATCAGAGATGGAAACAAAGGACTTCAAAGTCATTGGTTATGTTTCATTGTCATAAGCAGAATATCAGCTAGAGGTGTTCTTAGTGATATTTATAATTAAATGCACATGCACAAGTATGTGTGTATATAATATGTAGTCTATGTAGTATATATTTCTCAACAGAAGTTTTTGAAAAGTTAAAAATTTTATTTCCTGAGATCAGCAGATGGCATAAATGGTTATGTTGCTGGACTCCCACATGGTTCACCACAGTTCAAGTCCCGGACCTGAAGGCTTGAAACTCCCATCAGGTGCATGTGTGTGTGCATGCCCAAAATCCTGAGAGGAGAATGGAGGAAAAGGGACTCTCTTAAAAATAAAAAATATTAGGGCCAGCAGGTGAAGTGGTGGTTAAGGGGGCTGGACTCCCACATGGCCAAACGCAATTCAAGTCCTGAACCTGGACTCTTGCTTTCTCACTTTCCCTCTCTGTGTCACTCTGTCCCTCTCTGCTCAAATTAAAAATTAATTAATTAATTAATTAAAGTTTGGGGCTGGCAGGTGGTGGTCTGGTTAAGGGCACTGAACTCCAACATGGCTGACTGCAGTTCAAGTCTTGGACCTGGCAGCTTGCTTTCTCACTTTCTCTCTCTCTCTTTCTCTGTCCAACTGGTCAAAATTAAAAATAAAATAAATTAAAAATAAAAAATCATTCTTTAGGGACCAGCAGTTGGCTTAATGGCTATGTTGCTGGACTCCCATGTAGTTGACCACAGTTCGAGTCCCAGACCCTGTGGCTTAAACTCACGCCTGGCACATGTGCATGCGTGCCCAAGATCCCGAGAGGAAAATAGAGGAGAAGGGATTGTGAAATGAGCACCCCACGGGGGGAGAGGAGGTGATTTCTCGCTTTCCGTCTCTCTTGTGAGTATACATGCCCAATAACAACAACAACAAATAGGAAAGGGGCAGCAAGAGGCATAGTATTTAGGCACTGGACTCCCACGTGATTGACAGTAGTTCAAGTCCTGGACCCAGTGGCTTGAAACTTGAGTTGGGAACATGTGCGTGTGTGCCCAAAATACCAAGAGGATAATGAAAGAGAAGGAATTGCAGATTGGCCATCCCTCTGGTGGGCGACTTCTTACTTTCTGTCTCTCTGGCAAGTGCACGCGCCCTATAATTACAAAAATACTCAAAAACATATCAGGTGTGTGTGTGCATACCCACAAATCCTGACAGGATGCAAAAATAGAGGCAAGGGACTGCAGCATGATACCTCTCTCTCAAAAATGGAGGAAAGGGATTGCAGCATGATATCTCTCCCTCTTTCTGTCTTTCTCAAAAATGGAGGAAAGGTATTGTAGCATGATCTCTCTCTCTCCCCGTCCTCTTTCCTCTCTCCTCTCTCTTACATAAACTCTCTGACACAAAAGATCCAGCTTCGAGATACATGGTTTAGAGAGGGTATTAGAGCACCTGATAATTCATTCTTTTCCTAAATTGTGGCATTTTATCTGGCAATTTCATTAGACGCACTAGTATTTCCTCTACTTCTGTTGTCTGTTCATTTGCTTTGACCCATTTTCAGACTGATGGAAGTTGGAGTGCACAGTAAATGGTTATGTATTCTTTTCTCTCTATCAACAGGACCTGAAAGAAGAGATTGATATTCGACTATCCAGGGTTCAGGATATCAAATATGAACCCCAGCTCCTTGCAGATGATGATGCCAGACTACTACAGCTGGAAACCCAGGGAAATCAGAGTATGTGCAAACTCTTGAAGGATGCTTTAATGAGGAGTCCTGCAAGTATAGAATTCTTTTGCTCTCAGAGTTGTCAACGGCTGCTGGCAAAACTTCTGTCCTCATCAATTAGCTAATATACACTAGGTGCAAGGAGATAGTTTATGAGCTTACTGAAGTTTGGGGAATCTCAAGGATTATTCCTCAAACCAATCTTTTTTTTTTTAACAGGTTGCTACAACTATCTGTACAGAATGAAAGCTCTGGATGCCATCCGTGCCTCTGGTAAGGGTTACACAACAGAGTCTGTTCTAGGATCCTGCAAGTTCACCTAGAGAACAAAGTAATGAAACCACTTACAGGTTAGGATTTGTTCTTTCTGCACATCTCCGGCTGGTAGGAATTCTCTAGAGTTTTAAGAGTCCTGAGTTACTCCTTCGCCAAAGGAAATGATGTAGGCACATTATTTCTGCTCTAAAAGGTCTAAGATTTTTTTTTTTTAATTATTTTTTATTTTAACTTACTGTATTATTTTCCAACTCGATCAGAGAAAGAGAGGGAAAGTGAGAAATGAAGCTACCAAGTCCGGGATTTGAACCATGGTTGGCCATGTGGAAGTCCAGTGCCCTTAACCACCATGCTACCTGCTGGCTCTTCAGTTTTTTATTTTTGTTTTAAGGTGTTTCTCTTGAAGCCTTTAGTTTCAGGCATTGCATGGTGGTAATGTGCTTGCTTTTCCACCAAAGGCAGTGACGTCTGCTCTTTAACTTAATTTCAAGGTAGGTGGTTCTGGGCCAGCACATGGCATAACGGCAGCTGGGTCCCACATGGGCGACTGCACTGTTCAAGTTCTGGACCCAGCAGCTTGAGAGACACACCAAGCACATGTGCATGCGTATTTAAGATCCCCAAAGGAGAAGGAATTACAATGTGACCGTGTCCTATGGGGGAGGGTGGTTTCTTGTTTTCCCTTTTTCTCTCTCTTTTTTCTTTCTAGTGAGCACACACATCTTCTGGAAAATTTTTTAGAAAGCTATGTGGTTCTTGAATTTATTTCATTCTAAAACTACTTGTGATACATGCTCTATCTCTACCAAAATAGTTTATATCTTTTTTTTTCCTTTGAGAGTTTTTTTTCCCTATAGGCCACGTGTGCTTGCCAGAGAGACAGAAAACAAGAAATCACCCCCTCCCTCAGGGATGGCCACATCGCAGTCCCTTTTCCTCTATTCTCCCCTTGGGATCTTGGGCATGCATACACATGTACCTGGCAAGAGTTTTAAGCTGCCGGGTCCAGGACTCCAACCATGGTCAACTATGTGGGAGTCTAGCAATGTAACCATTCTGCCATCTGCTGGTCCCTGGTTTATATCTTAAAGTTAGCTGGGTAAGTAGAATGATGGCACTGTCGTTGATAATTGGTATAGCTTCCAGCTGTCTTGCCTTTACTTGAGCACAACTTTCATACCTTCATTCTTCTGAATTCTGTAAGAATTTTACTCCATCTCTACTCACTTGTTTTACTAGACCTGTTTTTTAAGTTTGAGAAATGAACTAAAAAGACTGAAGAATGGGAGGAGGGGTATCATTGTGCTATTATCTCCCTAGAGATCCCATTTCATGCTGAAGGCCGGCATCCTCGTTCCTTAATGGGCAAGAATTTCCGCTCCTACCTGCTAGATCTGCGAAACACTAGTACTCCTTTCAAGGGTGTGCGCAAGGCCCTTATCGATACCCTGCTGGATGGCTATGAGACAGCCCGCTATGGAACAGGGGTAAGCTGAATGGCCCTTTCTGCTTGAAAGAATGAAGGGAATGCCCCATACTGAGTGATCCTCACTCTTTTATTTTTTCTTCCCAAGGTCTTCGGCCAGAGCGAGTACCTGCGCTATCAGGAGGCCCTGAGTGAGCTGGCCACTGTGTGAGTTTTGAGGGGACTATGTCAAAGGGGACTGGTGAGAGAATCTATTAGTGCTAGGCTGTTCCAACAATGAAATGACCTCAATAAGGAGATGAACAGAATCTGTGATACAATAAGGCTTGTCAGACCCTAGACTGTTAGTACTGTCTCTTGCTCACTTTAGAAAGCAGATGCTAGCACAGCTTAGAGCATACTGAACTGCAGCGCTGTAAGCTGCCTGGCTGACTGTGGGTTTGGATCCTCAGTACTGTCAACTTGAAGCCCACAGGGTGCATGTGCATGGGACCAAGATTGTGAGAAGCTGGAGGGCTGGGGGCAGGGGATTGCAACATGACAAGATCCTGTTGCAAGTTCTCTTTGTCTCTTTCTCACACACATGTACTTGCTGGCATGAATCAACATTTTAAAAATTTTTAAAGAAAGAAAGCAGATGTTGCTATACAGGTTAATAAGTTTCTCCTCCTTTTGTAGACATTTTTTTTTTTTGTCCAGCACAATGAAATGTCAGAATTGATGTAGCCTACAAAGAAAATAAAATTCTTCAGCACACAGGGATTTCTTTTTTTATTAGGTTTTTGTTTTTGTTTTTTTCCCTTGCTATAGGGTGTATGCTCTCCCTAGAGAGAGGGGAGGTGAGAAAACATCCCCCAGTTGTGATAGCTACACTGCAATCCCTTCTCCATTCTCCTCTCAGGATTTTGGGCACACCTGCATATGTGCCCAGCTTGTTTCTCAAGCCACCAGGTCCACGACTTGAATCATGCAAGTGGCCATGTGGAATCCAACACCTTAACCACCACACCATCTGCTTGTCCAACACCGGGGTTACTTCTTTTCCAGACTGCTCCTTTTGTGTATTGGTCTAGTAAAAGTAAGAGTTCAATGCTACCCAATTTTATTATCACTCAAAGCATTAATAACCCTGTCTAGAACAAAAGGAAGACATCATTACAGGTCGGCTCTTGAATGTTACAGGAAAGGAATCATAACTTTTGTTTGGGGATTCTGTTTGTTTAATTTTAATTGCCAGAGAGTGCATGGGCTTGCCAGAGAGAGATAAAAGTGGGAGAAAGAAAGCCCCCCACAATGGGGTGTGATCATTCTACATAACCTTCTCTATTTCTCCATCCTATTGGGATTTGGGACATGGGCATACAGTCACCCAGTGTGTGTTCAAGCCCCCATGGCTGGGATTCAAACCACAGTTGACCACATGGGAATCTAGCTCCCTAACCACTAGGCCACGAGCCAGCCCTATTTGGGAATGTTTTAAATATGTTCTAAACGTAGCCTCATTATGTTGCTTATGCAAATGTCAAAAATGCTTGGTGAAGAAGGAAAGCCAGTCTAGAGTAAAAAGTTTAGTTACAGGGGCCAGCAGATGGTGTAATGGCCACGTTGCTGGCCTCCCATGTAGTTGACTGCGGTTCGAGTCCCAGACCCGGTGGCTTAAACTCATGCCAGACACGTGTGCATGCGTGCCCAAGATCCCGAGAGGAGAATGAAAGAGAAGGGATTGTGGCATGGCCATCCCCCCTAGGGGGAGATTTGTCACTTTCTGTCTCTTTGTCTCTCTCTGTCTTTCTGGCGAGCGCACACCTATAGCAAAACCTCTCAAAAAAAAAAAAGAAAAAGTTACCAACCATAAAAGGAATGCATCCTTTTACTGCTATGTTGGCTATGACTCTTTCTCAGGAGATAAGGGGTATGTCTGTCCCGTTCTCTCTGTCACTGAAAATGAGCCAGCTTGTTCTTAAAAAGGAAAGGTTCCTGGGGACCAGCAGATGGTGTAATGGTTATATCACTGGACTCCCATGTAATCTACTACGGTTTGAGTCCCAGACCCTGTGACACACTCAGAGTGTGCATGCATGTTCAAGATCCTGAGAGGATAATGAAGGAAAAGGGATTGCGTGTGGCCATCACCCTGAGAGATGATTTCTCACTTTGTCCCTCCAGCAAGTGCACACACCCTATAGCAAAAATCTCTCCAAAAAAAAAAAAAAAGGTCTCAGCTTTAACAACTTAGACATTAACCACTTAGAGCAGTAAGAAAATGAACTTGTAGGGAGGCTGGAAAAGGGCATTTGTTCTAGAAATCAGACTGGAAACTTGGCTAACTCGGGTGATACCACAATGTAGGGAATATTGGGTTATTGGTTAATTAGGTACTATTAAAGTACTGATGTAATGTCCTGATGTGTAATAAGTACCCAGTAGCTGCTTCTATTTTTATTTTTTTGTATTTCATTTTCAAGGGACTCTTTGCTTTTTTTGTTTCTTTGGTTTTTGTTTTGTTTTGTTTTTAGGTTTTTGCCATAGGATGCTTGTACTCATAGTAGAGAAAGTGGTAAATCACCCCACAGGAGGGTTGTCCTCACTGCAGTCCCTTCTTCTCCATTCTCCTAGGATCTGGGGGCATGCATCCATACATGCCTGGCTTGATTTTCAAGCTGCCAGGCTAAGGACTGAAACCATAGTTGCCATGTGGGACTCTAGCACTTTACCCACCACACCACCTTTTTTTTTTTTTTTAAGAGGTTTTTGCTATACGGTGTGTGCACTCGCCAGACAGACAGAAAGAGAGAGACAGAAAGCGAGAAATCACCCCTCAGAGGGGATGGCCATGCCTCAATCCCTTCTCCTCCATTCTCCTCTCAGGATCTTGGGCACACACACACGCGCGCCCGGCGTGAGTTTAAGCCACCTAGTCCAGGACTCGAACCGCGGTCGACTACATGGGAGTCCAGCGACATAGCCATTATGCTAACTGCTGGTCCCACACCACACCACACCACCTTTTGACCACATTCAAGCAACTCTAGACTGGAAACATGTTAGCTGTAAATATGTTTAAAATGAATTGGTAGAGTTAAAAAGTCTTTTTAAAACAGAGTGAGATGAAGAGAAGCTTGCACCAAAGACAAACACTAAGAGGGAAATTGGTTTCTCTGCTATTTCAAGGCTACTGTATGGGATTTTAGCAACTAGTTTATAATATAGGACCAGAGACCATTGGTAGCTATAGCTGCATTTAGGAAGCGAGGTAAGCCCTGAATCCTATTCCTCCGCTAGTCCTCATTCTGACTATGACCCTTTTGTATTCTTCAGGGTCAAAGCACGAATTGGGAGCTCTCACCGACAACACCAGTCAGCAGCCAAAGACCTAACACAGTCCCCTGAAGTCTCCCCAACAACCATCCAGGTGACATACCTCCCCTCCAGTCAGAAGAGTAAACGCGCCAAGCACTTCCTGGAATTGAAGAGCTTTAAGGACAACTATAACACATTGGAGAGTACTCTGTGAAGGAGCTGGAGGACTCCTGCTGCAGATTGAGCTGGACAGACACAGTGTTCAAGGCTGCTTGCCAGAGAGCCTTCAGGACAGCTGCTCAGCAGACCCACACTGCTATCTGTTGAAGCTTCTGTTGTGTCCAGAGTTCTTTAAGTTTGTGCCTAGAGGGTCATTCCCCAACTCTTATGGGCATTTTCAGAACATCAGCAAAGACTTTATCTTCTCCTAGTAGCACTTTTTTTCTGGATTTGAATTCAGAAGTTCTTCTCAATGTTTCTGTCAAAATGTCTTAAACATCTTCATTTGATTTGGGCCGTAGTTCACCTGCCATGTTCCAGACTGTTTAATCCCAAAGGTGAGCGTCGGGGTGAAGCATCTTCAGTTTCTGCCCCTCTGTACACAGTTGTACACAGTTGAGTGGGAACTGTTTGAGATTAGGGCATCTCAGAGTTGGATATGTAGGAAAGGCAGATAGGAACTGGTGGGGAGCCAGTCAGCCGAGGAAGTAGGTGGAATGTGGAACAACTTAACCCTGGTGCTCCACTTAAACCAAATGTGTTGAAACATTAACATGACTTCCCTGACCTGCTAGGATCTGCCCCTCCACTTTCATTTCATACTCTGTTGTGAATAAATCATTCAAAAAAAAAAATGTTTTGACACCTAACATCATACATGCTAGGCTGTGAGACAGAGTGAAAGAATGGTTTCCCAGACAAGCCAGTGTACTGGTCTGACTTTATAAATTAGTGATTCAATAAAATGAACTATTGAAAAATAAAGCAAATGATTCATTGCTTTACAGTCTTAATAAAACAGGCATTTCATACATTCTCTGCAATTTCCAAACAGGGTATAGGGCATGAGGATTTGCTTCCAGAGAGCCAGTGGGACTGCATGTGTGCACCCTGGACTTAACAACAATACAGATACTATTTGGGACCCCAGCAAAAGAAATCCTGAAATACAGACTATGGCCCTTGTTTATAGAATTGCCTGTGTCACTATTAGAAGCCTGGAGAACCAGGATTCCCTTCAAGTCTCTGGAGCAACAGGCCAGGTGGCCAATCAGCTCCTAGTCCCAGGTCATTGTTGGAAGCATAAATGTTGCTATGGCTACTGAAACCTCAGTGACTGAACTAAACAGAAAGGAGAGAGCCTGTCCAGTCGACTAAGACAATATTAAGCCAGTCTGTAGACATGTCTGTGGAAAAGATGGTAAAAGTGGAAGAGGTAATGCAAAGTTGGAAGGAGGGACTGGGTTGAAGTTTTCCTTGAGGTTTCCAGATCGGCTTATCTGAAGTGCCACAATTTACTGGGAATAGCCTGCAATGTGTCAGAAGAATACAGTAACCGGTGACAGACTATGTCTGACACTTAGTAGGTATTCGAGTATGTGTTCCATTTGTTTTTTTAATCTATTCTGAAAGGAGTCATTTCTTTCCCACCTCCATGAAATGAACTACTCCCAAAAGAGAAAGTTCTGTGTGTCTCCCATAAGAACAGTGTACTGGGTTGAGGTTCTGAAAACCAAGGCAGATCAACAGAAGTCCTTTTTCTTGCAGAGTTTTCAAAGGGCCCTGGAGCTTAAGAAGATGGTTGACAGGTAATACCTGCTCTGCCCCTTCTTCCCCTTTAGTGTCATCTTTCATTTTCCTGCACTCCCTGAGCCACCACCCACTTCTCTATCCTGTTAGGTAGGGTCTCATTAAGGAAAATGGAGGGGCTGGCAGGTGGCCTGGTGATTAAAGGGCACCAGACTCCCACATGGCCTATGCAATTTGAGTCCCAGACCTAGCAGCTTGCTTTCTCACTTTCCCTTTCTGTCTGTTTGTCTCTGTCCCTCTTTGGTAACATTAAAATAAATAAAGTTTGATTTTTTTAAATGGAAATTAAAAAAAAAAAAAAGGAAAGTGGGTTAGCAGGTGGCAGCAAGGTTAAGGAGGCTGTATCCCACATTGTTGACCACGACTTGAGTCCTGGACCTAGCAGCTTGGAAATCATGCTGGGCGTGTGTGAGTGTGCCCAGAATTCCAAGAGAATAAAGGAGAAGGGATTGCAGTGTGACCATCCCCTCGAGGGGCCCCCATGCCTACCGCGCATTTCTCATTGACAAGCACTCACACCCTATAGCAAAACTTTTAAAAAGAAACAGATGTGGATGGCCAAGAAGCTGCCTTGTTCTCAGAGTGAGAAGACAGCAGCCTTCTAGTGCCCAGTAGGTTAGGCTATAAGGTTTTATTGCCCCCTGCTTTCTATTCTCCACAATTAGAGCAAGCTTTTGTCATTTTCTTTTTTAATTTTTTTAAAGAATTATTTTTATTTAACTTTATTTATTATTATTATCATTATTATTTTCCAGGTTGATTTGAGAGAGAGAGAGAGGACGACAGAAAGC